TAAGCAGAATGGAACTTAGGTGATATTACTCCTGAGATGGAAAGATGGAATAGGTATAACTCATATATTACTCTTTCATACTACACCATAGATATGTGCAGATACAAGATTGAAAAGTTTGCTGGAAGTTTACTAGAAAATGAATAGTTATGGACAGATGCTGAATTTGATTTTAAATCAACCAAAATCAATCATGTCATGATACTAGTTCTTATTTTGAACTAAAGAAATTAGTGATGAAATGAACAAAATTAAGTGGACAAAATAAATGGAATAAAATGCATTATTTTTTTTATTTTTAAAGCAATGCCAAAAACTTGTGAAGTTTGACCTAGACAAATATTGCACCTCTTGTGTAAAAATTAACTACCTGACAAGCCACAAAAACAAATATATAATTAAGAATAAAAGAGCAATCAGCTCTACCATGAAAAAGCTTCTCTTGCCTTTAAGTAAAGGACTGGGAAATATGCTGTATCAGTAGCTCTAACATCTCATGATTGCATCTCTAATCCTACAAGAAATTGTTCACTCGCTACAATTAGTATTGGAATCTTCTAGACAGCTGTAAAACTATACATTTGCATTACTTTAGCTTACGATTTCCTGTACAGTTATTAGACTTTTGTTGACAAAAATGAGTATTCAATATATATGGGGAACATGAGATTAGCTCAGCTGGTCAGATCATGCTGCTAATAACACCAGATTTGTGGTTTTGATCACTCCATAGGACCCACAGCAGCTGGAAGGGACCCACAGGAACCATCCACTTTAGAGTTGGCTTTGATGATTCCTGTGCGTCCCTTCCAACTCAGAATATTCTGTGATTAGTTCTGTGATATCTAAGGACACAAACAAAGCTTCTTCCTTACCAAGTGCCTGTAAATCCCAAATTATCCCAGAGTTAAAAATGAATGAAACAGAGGTCCCTGTTAACAATGAAAGAACCAATATCTCCCTTTACAGTTTAAGCTGCATAACAGTAGAATAATAACCTTTCTTC